GCCCATGCATCACTTTCTTTTGAAATAATATATTTAGACACAAAATGACTTAATTTTGATTAACTGGTCGAGCGAAATGCATGAAACCTGCAGAACACCATGACAAATAGATAACAGTAGCACACTCTAAAATTATTTATGCACATATAATTTTAAAATGAAGAAATACAAAAAATGCTCCTAAAAAGCGCAATATGCAAATCATGACAAGCCAATGATCTTATACATGTATCTACACATAACTTTAATCAGGCTATTGCGAATCATTGAGATGTATTGAATGCTCTGTCTTTTTCTGACTTCGGGTATTCTCAAAACTTTGCCTTGTACAACAAGAATTAAACCGCTTTATATGCACAAATTAAAATTATTTGTTGTAGAATGAACACTTCAAATCTCTGGCGATCTTTCTTCGACTGACATAAGTATAATACCGCAGTTTTAACTTGGCATCTCACGAATTTTACATGATTTTGCTTTATGCCTATTATAGTCAAACATCTTTTTTTTTATTTTATTTTTTCTTTTGCACGTAAAATATATTAGGAAGTGAAATTTGAAGTTGTTTGTTTAAATGCTGTCCAATTTTCAAAACTTTCACCTCTCAATCCCATATATGGAAAATAAATTTTTAAAAATTAATTCAGAACAAAAGTGGAGTCAAAGACAAGATTCCTTTTCCATCTTGTAGCGGCAATGCGCTGCAAGGTATCTAACATTCATGCAAAAGTGTAATGACAGTTACCATTGAAAAATCATTTATCTACATAAGTCTAAGGCGTCGGTAATTATAAGAGCTTTCACGTTTTCTATTGATAGCGGTGAACGGTTACTGGTCACGTGATGACTAGAGCTCAGTCGACAAAACAGTTACTTTTCAAAGACTGCAACAGTGACCTTGTATTTAATTCTTCACAGCAGAAAGAAATCGGGAACTGCAATTACTCTCTCACACCTTTGCAATTGTTATATCTTCCTACAAAAATTGCATTCTCAAATATTGTAAAGAAAAAGTTTTATTTTAAAACCCATTTTTATGCAACTAACTCTCTCCCAATTCTGATTTACACAGATAACTCATTTGTATAAATAAAGGAAAGTATCTTAAGATTAAAATATCCGAGGTTTTAGAAAAAAAATGAATCAATTTGTGAAACTTGAAATAAGTGCGAGTATGTTGTTGTTGATGCACTTTGGGTACACAGGCTGCATTTGCAGCACTATGCATGCATGTGCACTTGCCGATACATTTGCGTGAATGTGCTTCTTTACCTGGAAGAAGCAGAGAATTTTTGTTAATAACCTTTTATAAATTATCCCACCACCACCCTCCAGAAATCTGGCATTTATACTAATCTTTCAAATGCTTAACTGTTATTTTGTGAAATTTGCATAAGGTAACTCTGGCTGTATTCAAATGATCTCCCTTTGAACGACGTAAGAACAACGATCAAAGAAATGAAGCTAATATTAATGCACAAGCTCACTGATGAAATGACGAGTTTATCTTGCTAAAGAAATACTGTAAACAGATGCAAAAACTACGTTATATTAAACCCTTCATAACAGGTACAGATGAGGTACTTTAATTTTTTCTAAAAAGGAAAATAAAGGAAATCCGCAGATATTTACTGTTAATGCATGTCAGTTTTTACCGATACATTTAGTAGTACATTGTCAGTAAAGAAAAACAATTTTTTTTAAACACTCTTAATGATACATTACTTCAGAAATATTCATTAATGAAGAGGATTCTTGAAATAAGACAAAAATAATATGAAAATGTTTATCCGCTAAGAGATTCCTCTCCCCCCTTCTTATTGCGTATTTCAGTGATTTTGAATTTCATTGCCCATGCATCACTTTCTTTTGAAATAATATATTTAGACACAAAATGACTTAATTTTGATTAACTGGTCGAGCGAAATGCATGAAACCTGCATAACACCATGACAAATAGATAACAGTAGCACACTCTAAAATTATTTATGCACATATAATTTTAAAATGAAGAAATACAAAAAATGCTCCTAAAAAGCGCAATATGCAAATCATGACAAGCCAATGATCTTATACATGTATCTACACATAACTTTAATCAGGCTATTGCGAATCATTGAGATGTATTGAATGCTCTGTCTTTTTCGGACTTCGGGTATTCTCAAAACTTTGCCTTGTACAACAAGAATTAAACCGCTTTATATGCACAAATTAAAATTATTTGTTGTAGAATGAACACTTCAAATCTCTGGCGATCTTTCTTCGACTGACATAAGTATAATACCGCAGTTTTAACTTGGCATCTCACGAATTTTACATGATTTTGCTTTATGCCTATTATAGTCAAACATCTTTTATTTTATTTTATTTTTTCTTTTGCACGTAAAAAATATTAGGAAGTGAAATTTGAAGTGGTTTGTTTAAATGCTGTCCAATTTTCAAAACTTTCACCTCTCAATCCCATATATGGAAAATAAATTTTTAAAAATTAATTCAGAACAAAAGTGGAGTCAAAGACAAGATTCCTTTTCCATCTTGTAGCGGCAATGCGCTGCAAGGTATCTAACATTCATGCAAAAGTGTAATGACAGTTACCATTGAAAAATCATTTATCTACATAAGTCTAAGGCGTCGGTAATTATAAGAGCTTTCACGTTTTCTATTGATAGCGGTGAACGGTTACTGGTCACGTGATGACTAGAGCTCAGTCGACAAAACAGTTACTTTTCAAAGACTGCAACAGTGACCTTGTATTTGATTCTTCACAGCAGAAAGAAATCGGGAACTTGTTGTCTGTATTTTAGTTTTAAATTGCACTAAGCACTGCAATTACTCTCTCACACCTTTGCAATTGTTATATCTTCCTACAAAAATTGCATTCTCAAATATTGTAAAGAAAAAGTTTTATTTTAAAACCCATTTTTATGCAACTAACTCTCTCCCAATTCTGATTTACACAGATAACTCATTTGTATAAATAAAGGAAAGTATCTTAAGATTAAAATATCCGAGGTTTTAGAAAAAAAATGAATCAATTTGTGAAACTTGAGATAAGTGCGAGTATGTTGTTGTTGATGCACTTTGGGTACACAGGCTGCATTTGCAGCACTATGCATGCATGTGCACTTGCCGATACATTTGCGTGAATGTGCTTCTTTACCTGGAAGAAGCAGCGAATTTTTGTTAATAACCTTTTATAGATTATCCCACCACCACCCTCCAGAAATCTGGCATTTAAACTAATCTTTCAAATGCTTAACTGTTATTTTGTGAAATTTGCATAAGGTAACTCTGGCTGTATTTAAATGATCTCCCTTTGAACGACGTAAGAACAACGATCAAAGAAATAAAGTTTATATTAATGCACAAGCTCAGTGACGAGTTTATCTTGCTAAAGAAATACTCTTAAAAGATGCGAAAACTACGTTATATTAAACCCTTCATAACAGGTACAGATGAGGTACTTTAACTTTTTTCTATTAAAAAAAAAAGAAAAGAAAAACCAAATCCGCAGATATTTACTGTTAATACATGTCAGTTTTTACCGATACATTTAGTAGTACATTGTCAGTAAAGAAAAACAATTTTTTTTAAACACTCTTAATGATACATTACTTCAGAAATATTCATTAATAAAGAAGATCTTCAAATAAGTCAAAAATAATATGAAAATGTTTATCCGCTAAATGATCCCCCTCCCCCCTTCTTATTGCGTATTTCAGTGTTTTTGAATTTCATTGCCCATAGTTATCTCTTGTTTGTGTATATTCTGAAAAAAAGACCCCGAACATTCGAATCATAAATTTACATTCGAATATCAATTTATCCCTAGATAACTATAGAGTTGTGCCCCCCCCCCCCTTCCAAAAAATATTGATCTTTATTATGATGACAGTGATGCACTTCCGACATATTAGTTATCCTTTGCAAACCCCACATTTAACAGCATCAATATTTTTATGCCCCCATAATCGAAAATTCGGGGGCATATTGTCTTTGCTTTGTCCATCCGTCTGTCCGCAAAAACATTAACCTTGCCCATAACTTTTCATTGACTGGAGCTATGGCTTTCATATTTCACATGTGTATATCTTTCTTTGAGTGCCAACATATTCTATCTCTTGACCCTGCAGTTTTTTGTTTTGTTTTTTTTTAATTTTGCAAATTATTACCACATAACTTTTTAATGGTGGTGCTAGGGCTTTCATACTTCATATGTGTATTCTTCCCTTGGATACAAATATTTTTTTTACCTTGACCTTGGAGTTTGACCTACTTTTAAAAAACTCTAACCTTGGCCATAAGCTTTGAATGGCTGGAGCTACAGCTTTCATATTATACTTGTGTAGTTCTTGTGACAAGACCATCCCAAAGGTACGAACAATTTTGACCCTTTGAGTTTGACCTACTTTTGAAAACCTTCAACATTGGTCATAACTTTTGAATGGTTGGTGTTAGGGCTTTCATATTTCACAGGTGTATTCCTTCCAAGGAATTTCCTTGTGATATACTTTCTTTGGGTACCAACATTTTTCATCTCTTGAATGACCTTGGAGTTTGACTTCCATTTGAGAAACTTGAGCCTTCGCCATGAGCTGCTATATAGGGGCATCCAGGCGCGGATCCAGGAATTGAAATTAGGGGGCGCAATAAGTAGGCAGGGGGTCTGGGGGCCGCCTTGAGGCCCCCCATGGGTCCAGGGCGAAGCCCTGGTGGGGGCTCAGCCCCCGGAAGCTCCTGGATTCTAGAGATTTTGTAGGTTAAAAATGAGGTCTACCGAGTGGACCTTTTTACATTTTCTTTACGAAACTATGATTTACGCTTTGACAATTTCGGGGGGGGGGGGGGGGGGGGGCGCCAGGGGCGCCACCCCCCCCAACTTAAATCCGCCACTGGCATCACATCCTTATACACTATGTTGAGAAACATGAAGATATACAATTGCATAAGCCAGATGAACCAAGTATTGACAAAAGAATAAAAACTAAGAACAACAGATGTATCAGACATATAGTTTATTTTTGATTTAGTGACAGTAAATGCTATATGGATAGAATTAAAATACACCTGTACAAGCAGCTTGAGAACACCTACCTAGTCCAAACCTTTGTCAAATGTTCACAATCTTTTATCACAGAAAATTCGATGTGTTCACAAGTACAAAATCCTGCAGTTCATGGACTTCAAATTAAAAACAAAAACAGGCCACCATTTTAAGTAAAAGTATAGGCACCCTCAAATCTATCTTATTGAAAAATACACCTTTCAAAAACAAAATATTGGTACGAGACTACTTATGAATTATACGTTTTTACTACCAAAATTTTTCCAAAAAAAAAAAAAAAAAAAAAAATGAGACAATCATAATACATATTCTTTGCAGCAGCAGTTTACAAAAAACTTGAATTTATTTATTTTTTTAAAATAATGCCCTTAATTACATTGGAGTAAAAATAACTTCTTGTCTCATTAAGCAGTTCCATATCTATGCATAAAAAGAATATCTTTTTATTACAGACGTGATGAAAAATCCTGAATCTGTACAATATACCAGTACATGTACATATTGAGTAAATTTTCCAAATGAAACATTGTTATCTGAAATTTTGAATGGTATTTCCTGATTGTAATTGTTGAGTAAAGTACAGTGAATAATTTTTCAGACCTAATAATGTAAAGATCTAAAATTTTAAATTGGTTAAGTTTAAGTGAATCAGCACAAGGCTCTGGTCTGGCCCACGACATACAATGAAATTACATCGCAAAACCAAGGGCAGATAACCATACAGTTTATATAAAACCAATCTGAAGTTAAGACTAGTAGCACTATATAAAATTGATATCATATAGCTTGAAAAAAATCAAATGTACATCCTAGCTGATGTGGCCACAAAACTCAACAGAAACAAGGTTACAAAAGCTGCAAGAATGGCACATGTAAACATTCATACTTAATATTCTTCAACAATTAACAAATTAATTTGTATGCAGCAATAATTAAAAAAAATTGGGATAAAAATGAGTGATGATATTTGGATTAAATTTTTAATACATTTTAATACATCATGTTCTAGTATGTATATAATTTGCATTCTTCATGCATAAAGAAGTTTAGTGGAGACAAAAATCCTACACAAAATCATTCTGTATAATTTTCTAGACAGTGGCCTGCATACAAGTGTTAAAGTCAGCAAGCTTTTAATATTGGAATCCTTAAATGAACAAACCATTAAAAATCATAATTTTAAAAATCTCTAGGGCAATTTATTTTTTTTAAACTAGAATTCAAATCATTTTAAAAAAAAATCCAAAATCATTATTTACCTAATCTGACTTGCAAGATTCACATCAAAGACACCAAGTAATAATTCCTTAGGTGTCTGAATATACATGTATTTATAAAGTTTATTTCTTTCAATCTTTCTGAAACAATAAGTCATAATTGAAAAAATTATAACAACAATTCTTTATTAAATTGTAGCTATACTTAAAAATACATGACTGCATGTCTTAAAATGAAACGAAAAAAGCTTGCCCTTTTTTTCAATTCCTGCACAAAATTTAAAATATTGATACCCGTACAAAAATAAATTGCCAAGGCAATGAATACTTTGAAACTTTTATCTCTGTGCAGAGTTTGGAAATAATCAAAATGGATGTAAAACTAACAAACATTAACAATACAATAAATGCTACATGTAAAAAAAAATGTGCAATACAAAAATGCAAGTCGATCACTGAATTAATTTCAAACAGAATATTTTTGTAGATCCAGTGCTACAATACATTCATGAATTGACAAAAAAATTCAGTATTTTTACATGATGATATATGGTTGGTATCTTAAAAGTTTATGGAAATTAAAACATTGAAACAATGATAAATTTATGGAACCCCTGAGAAACTGAATGATTTATATAAGTTAGTTTGACAAAATGGCAGATAATTTATTACAGTGTTGATAAAAGAGATGATAAAATCTGTTATTGATTACCATGATTACTACTTCCCAATAAACATGCTGATCAGGAAAGATAACTCTTAAATGCTTGTCAACCATTTAGGAACAAATTCTTCACACCAGTGTTGACAACTTTGTGCCTGAAGGAGCAACATGTTTCACAGTTCTAAATGGTTTATCATAGGCACTGCCATTAGGTAGGGCTTCGAAGCCTCTCTTCTCTGCATACCGTCTCAATGGTCCATCTGGCAAGGTTGAAACATTTGTTCCAGACTTGATAATGGGTTTCTGAGGTGGAATTGTTTCCGTACTTGACTTCTTCTTACCTGCCACATCCTGATTTGAACCACTTGATTTGTTCTTCTTTTTACTGAACATTCCTCCAAAAGGATTCCATGAAGATTTAGATTTGGAAGAGACACTAGCAGAGGCTGCTCTTGGTCTTAGTTCATTCGTACTGGCCTCATTTTGAGCATCCACTATCCACTGTTGAGTGCAAGGCATTGCATGGAAACTGTGCCTACAAGATGCTGGTCTCTGTAACTGATCACTGATATTGTCCCGAGTTTGAAACAATTTTTGGATGTCTGCAGAACTTGCAAATAGGGGCCTTCTTCCATTTTGAGTTAAATTATCAGAAGATGAAAAGTGCCCTTTTCCTGGCATTCCAGGTAAAGTCAAGTTTTTCGGAACTCGAATATTGTCCATACTCATATTTGTGAGTTGATAGAAACGTCCATCAACAGAACCAACCCCAGAACTTGAGTTTGATCTATATGAGGAACTCTCTTGTGAACTATAGTCTCGAGAAAGTGACACATTTCGTGGCAGGGATCCAACTGAAGACATGGGTGGTGGACCCAGTCTTTCACAGCTCTGTTCTCCATACTCCTTCCCATAATATCCTCTGGGGTTATAATAATTATCACTTCCATAATTTTGCTTTAACACTTTGTCTTGGAAGTAAAGCACTTTGGAATCCTCTGTTTTGACATCAAAATCCTTGTCAAATCCATAGTAATTCCTGTAATTGCGATCCATATCGATCATTTTGTCATATAAATCACCTTCAAATTTTTCAAGGTCAGAGGTCACAGATTCCAGCGTGTCATCTGCACTTGTAACATTTTGAGGAGAATGCCTCATTTTAACACTAGAACTCCTTGATCTTGACACTCTGTCACCACTATTTTCACTAACATCATTTGCTTGAGTATTATCCTCTTCTTCAATAATGGCAAGTTGTCGAAGCTGTTCCTGCAAGGAGCTAGATTCTTCTTTGGCTTCAGCCATTTTGGTCCTGCGTCGGACTGCCCAGGTAGTTTTGGAGGAGTTTTGAATTGCACTGTTATCCTGCTGCGTAGTTGAGGTAGCTGTGGCTAACTTGGGAGCTCCATGAACAATAGAAATGTCTGTGTCTGAAATCACATTCAGAGAAGTTAAACTTGAGGATAAAGGAGAGGATACTGTTGTTCCTTGACTTGAATTTGTTCCATATCCATCATCTGTATCTTCTGATTTCGGAGACAGCTGGCTGATGCTTTTGGTGGATTTTTTATCAGCCTCCTGTGGTTCAGTATTAACAGGACTTTGAAACTGAATTTGCATATTGTTATTGAAAATTGTTTGCTCATCCTTTTGAGTTTTATATTTTTGCATGCTCTGTGTGATTTTTGTCTGGTTCTTTTCTTCCTCCGCTGTTGTCATCATGATCATGGTATCCGCTGAGGAATCACTATGATCACTAGCAGAATCCAAGACATCCAGCATGTCAAATTTCTTCCACAGTTCCTCTGTTGACTCTGGTGTGATGTGATTCAGTGGAGGACTTAACACTCCATTGACAGGCTTCTCCTTTTCTTCTTTAGTCCAAATTTGATCATGTTTCGTCACATTAGTCTTAGTAAGTGGCTGAGGATGTGTCCTAACACCATTATGCCTATCAACAGTTTCCTTTTTAATAATTCCATTTGGAGGTGATACTGGCCTTTTGCGAATGCGAGGAGGCAATTCAGGGGGAGGGGTTTCCCTCCCTTTTTCAGTTCCTTGAAATGATGAAGTCTCCGTCTTTTTAAGAATTCCCCTCAGCTGTTTCACTCCCCCATTCACAGTTTTAGTTTCTTGTGCGTAAGAATTTTGTTCAAAATATTTTGTTAAAAAGTTTCTATTTCCAGCATGAAGACTCAGTCGCTCTTGTGCAGAAGTAATTTTGCTACCACATTTGGTCCCCCTTGGGGGTAGAGGTGGAGTTCTGTCCCCATCACTTCCCATCTTCCCCTGCTGTGATGAAATGTTTAATTGGTGTCGATGATGGATATCTTTACTAACCAGGTCCGAATGTCCCTCCTGGGGCTGTGAATATACTGTCCTGCTATGTCCTTGTACCTGTGTGGAATTTTGACCTGGGGTCACACCAATCACTTGAACCATCCTAGCATGGTAAATATCATTTTGCCCTGCAGTGCTGGTCATTTTTACTATCTCTTTGATATAACAAGATTTCTGTTTATCACTTCAAGTCTGCCTTATTACTTAACAGTATGTCACACGACCGGACAGACTTCATAATATCAATGAATTTGTTCCAATTTTAACCACTGTTGTATTTATCCAAGCAATCCAGTAGAAAACACATAGAAATCGCCTTTGTCATGCCAGCCTTCTCATGCATGATTTATTAATATTCTTGAGGCTTCCTTTATATTTTGAAAAAGTAATTGATCATCATGATATCTTGGTAATAACACACTTGTATTTCTTTTGTTATGTATTTTTGGGGGGATGAATATTTTGTGGAAAAACTTCCTTCACTAAGTAAATCACATTAAAAAATTATACACTGATATGAAAATGAAATCCTTGGCAAATTTTCTGAATGTTTTTTGCTGGTCATAAAATCCTGCTTTGAATATGAAATCACTTCTTCACATCAGATAAGACATTAAATAATGCACATTACTCCCTTTATCTCTCCTATAAATACAGTAATCTTGTCTAAGTTTCACTTGGAAGATAATTTTTTTCCCCTCCTAGAAGATACCTGGTGAATGTTCTATAAACAAAACTAATCGATTTTTGCAGCAGAAATTGCAGCAGGATGATTCACACAGGTTATAAAATCCGGAATAAAACAGATGTTGAAATATAAACTGCAACACCACTCCAACTCTCGGAAAGAAAACACAAGAAAAAACTTTTCCAAATTATCAGTTGATGAACTGTTTGCATTGAACCTTGACACCGTTTCCAATTTTTGCAGCTGGTCTCGGAATTATAAATGGCTCCTGTTCCTTGGTTATTTACCTGAAAGAAAATAATCACAAGAGAAAATTAGAGGTCTCTCTCATTAATATTCTTTATGACAAATAATTTTCGTAGGCATAAATTATATCCAAATGACATTTAGCTATTTATACATAATATATTGCTATAAGAAATTTTCACACCTACACATGCAAGAACATTTTTTTTCTCACAATGTGTGGAGGTTATCTTAGTTCAAACCATTTTTTCTTATTTACAAAATCTAAAGATTGCTAATATGTACTCCTAGGTTTATCTATCAAGATAACAATAAAAAAAAAAACATATTTCTATGAAGCTCTCAATAATAAATATTGGGGGAAAAAAAAGAAAAATATTTGAACAATGTTGGAATGTTGACAAATCACAGATGATTGGTACATCACTGATCAATAACCATTATAGATTGATAGATTCAGAGATCAAAGAGAGACCTCACACATCAAACTGTCCAATTCCACCCCTTATGTTTAACTCAAATAACATGTCAGCACAAATGTCAGAGGGAAAAAAAAACTCACAATCTCAATTAAATTATTAACTCAGCATCAAAGATGTTAAAGTAATTTTTAAACCACTGGTAAAATAACAAAAACTAAATACCAATTTTCTAAGAAAGTATATCCACCAAAAATATTATAGTAAAAAATTCCCTCCTTTTCAATTTTGAATAAATAATCCAGAGATGTATCATCAACAACTTGTGTATGAATGATAAAGCAGGAAAAAACTTACTGTACTTGAATAAAACTCTATTCATCGCCTCCAAGAAGAGTAAAAAAATTATTATACAAAAAATCCACTTGATGAATGTTATAAGATATGTGTCTGCTTTACACAAGTGAAATAATCTGGCTCAAGAAGTTTTTGATACAAGCTTGGAAGAATCCCTCTTGTTCACAGAGAAGATCAAACAAACGATTCCAGACAGACAACTCAACATGTTGCATATGGCCACTTAAACCACAGCAAAATGTTCCTTACTTCATGTACTGCCTTTAGTGCAAAGCCTTCTGATTTATTCAATTATACTAAAATAGAAACAGATGAGTCATGAGTGCCCTCCCCTTAAATGCACTGTGATTAATTTATGAAGGCAAAAAAAGAGAGAGAATCGCCAGAGAGAACATGCTTGGTTTCTATGTTGTGACCATCAGAGGTAACAAGAAAAATCATGTATCTTACAAAGTAAACACTTGTTCAGAGGGTAATCATTACAAATTTTACACAAAGGTGTACTGCAAACCTCCTTAAAACTAAAGACACACAGTCCGAAGGTCAAACAACTGTCAGACAGGCAGAATGACACATCCCAAATCTGAAATGGCAGGAATTATGCAATATGTAATGACAAGACGTGCTAATTTTAAGTGTCAGAAAAAACATTTACATTTTGTCACTTGAACGCAAAACCGTGATGTACATATGCAGATTTGTAAATCATTAAACATATTTTGTCATGGCGGATTCACTGAGAAAGGACACATCTTCTCTTTCTCAGGTCTTTTTTGAAATGCATGTAAGAAGATATGACTGATAAACAGACATAATTATGTTGAACACTGAATTATTGTGAACATAAAGGAACATCATGTAAAGTAATTGGTCATTCACAGTTGAGTAATTCCAATTTTCAAAATTAGTATGAATTGGGTAGGACAAATAAGTACACCCCATATTCATAGGATAAAGTTTTATAATGAAGCCTATAGAGGCTAGAGCTGTTCATCTTGAAGTTGTAATTCATTATCTAGTGTTCGGAAGGAAAATAAGTATATAATAGATATGTTATAAACAAAGAAAATATTGATCAGTATCTGGTCTTCAAAAATCAGAGTATTACTCTGCACTACTTGCAAAACTCCTAATTATGATCCTAAATAAGTCTACAGTTACTGAAAAATCTAGCAGTACATTTTTCTTGGCAATGGCCATAAAGAAACAAAAATAACTTAATCAATAAGGAGCTGTTCAGATCATTTACAGGTACTAAAATGAACAGTCTTTAGTTTCACATAGAATTGCCATATCTCACTCCGCAAGCCTATTACGTCCATGTAAAATGACCCAACTGAAAGAGGTAAACAATCCAAAAATGTATTATTTCTTATAAAATATCTTTGTAATATTTCCCATAATGACACAGCGCAAAAATTGCATTGAATGTAAAAAAAAGCTCAATTTCAGTGTATGAAAGAGAGTATTTTAAACACTGGCCCTCAACTTGGAGTCTTCCTATATTTTTAACACCTTTATATAAGCAGGAGTCCTACATTAGCACACAATTCACACCCCGCTGGCAGACAGCATTTTGTTCGAGCAATTTTTTAAATGTATTTTTTTTTCTGAGGGAGAGTGAGTCATACCCTCCTTCTCTCCTGCAGATTAACCTCCTGTCAGGCAATTTCAGGTAGCATATTACAAAATACCAGACCTCAAGGAAAGAAAACTTCATATCTTCTCAACACTGTATACCTGCTTAAAAAATGTCTTTTTAATTTTATCATGAAAGCAAACAATATAACAATTATATCGAGCCAGAAAACAAAACTACAGAATAGGAGAATTTTCCATTAACACTCATTTAAATGTAAGTTGAACAGGTGGGGCAATTTTATCTAAGCCCAGATCGAATCGAGATGTTGGGTATTGAATTCAATCAATAAATGATGCAACATCTTTAAGTATATCCAACCATATATATAATGAAGACAAAAATTCTGTGAATGAATTCAAATGATAATGGCTTGCACTGCATCAACTACAAACAAAAAAATATAGCTCTTCACCTAGTTGACTTTTCTACCTTTTTGGCACAGTCGTCATGATACGGATTGCAATAATTGCATCTAAGCTTGACACTTACAATCAACAGAATAATAATAGGCAAACACGCCAATGCACATAGGATTTAAACAACTAAGGAAGTAAAAGTCAATAAACTTTCCAGAGCCAAATTCAATCAAGTTTCACAGTTCTGTACATATAATATCAATCGTTCATATTTTTATTTTGCCTTTTGGAGAGATCTTCGACTTTTAATCAATTTGGCAATGTGCACGGCTGATACAAAGGCATCCAAAAATTAACATTCCTTGATATAATCCTTTAAAGAACTCCCTGGGTAATACCTCGAGCAATTTAACTTCCATGAGATTTGTAACAATGATCTTTTACAAATGTCCTACAATTATGACTTGCTTGGGTTGTCCATTCCTCAGTGCTAATTTACTGCACCCTATTTAAAAAATACCATTCTACAAGTTAATCCTAAAACCATCTTTGTTGCCAAATTCTGTTAATAGTTCAAAGTCTAAATGTGTTATGATGTTTTCCATTTGCATGTCAGGTAAACTTTTATGTTTGACAAGACAGGAATGCAACAATCAATGCACTGTATATATATTTTGTTCAATTCCAATGTACTTATCACTGCAATGACAGCTGACAACAATTTGTCGCCCTCTCTCCTACATATCCCCCCTCCTTTTAGCCACTGACACAATAATTACCTATCCCCCAAATCCACAGTTGGACCCACTGAACTAAACCTATTTTACAGTCTAATTCAATGTGATATTGATGATTTTAATTAAAACATTTCTTTAAGTTGGACACTCCTTCTTAGTGGCTATTTATAAAACACACGGATCTTTTCAGACTTGTACCAGATGCCCCCACCTTGAGTTTTCCTAGTCTTCTCCTATATGTTAACACACCTTTCCCCTTCATTCAGTTTCGATTTCAGAATAATCAATAAATTTATTGCCAAACATATTCATTGTGGGCGGTTTCTTAGTTTTGGTATTGTGGGAATTAGTACCCGAGATTCTGTAACAATTAATACCTAGCACTCATTTTCCATTTACCCATTTCTACTGTTGAGATTAATAGACAGAAAAAGAAATTGCTCAAGAAATAGAATTAAATTGATTGATGGAAAAAGATCACACTATGGTTTAAAATGACCCAGCTGTTCAGAAGTTCAAACCACAATTAAGCTACCATATATACTCATCTATAAGTTGGTATTTTGGGAGTTAAATTTCGGTCCAAAACTCTCAGAGTTAAATTTTGGTCCAAAACTATGCGACCTCTAGGCAGATCATAGAAAGATTGGTATTTTTCTGGACAATGAAAGGTAGTATTTTATAAACAATCCTGCCGATTATCGTTGAACAGTCTTTATATATCATTTATGTATTCTAAGATTATGCACATTAAAGTATACAAGTATTTATAAATTTTGACAATTTTATTTTTACCTTAAGTGTGCGTTACTTATTTTTTAATGATTTAAAATTAAATATCAAAGTTATTTCTTAAAAATATTGATTGAAACCCGGTTAAAACATCAGAGAATTGATTTGAAATTGTCAACCACATTCTGGAAAGAAAGTTGTACCTACTTATGAGCAGGTCAATGGCGAATCCCTCCAAAATAACCACAAAAAATACAACCGACTTATAGGCAGACCGACTTATACGAGAGTATATACGGTACCTTAATTTCAACTGATGATATTTGGAAGGGAAATGTCTAGAACTAATGCAGATTCAATATCCATTCTTTAAAATATTTCAATATGTGCAAATCGTCAGAATACACTGATATATTAACATGTCCACATTATATTTGATTTAAAAAAAAATATCTGTATAACAAAAATTTTCTAGAATATAGAGCAAATCAATTTCTGTCCTGTGAGTTTCAATTAGATGTTATATTGTATTTGATTCTTGTCAAAAACATTACAGACAATATGTCCATGAATCTCTCTGAAATGATCATGGTCAAGCATGCATGCTATTACCATATATGTGTCCAGTCAGCAGAAATTCCTTTAACATTCATGATCTTTAGAAAAATCTCTGAGGAATGTGCTCCAAGTCAAAGAATCAGACAGCCAGACTAAATGTTGACTCAATGGAATCTAGGCATGTGTTAAAAGTCACAGATGTCCTAAAGGCGCAATGTAGTCCTGGTACTCAAACCAAGGCATACCAAATTAAATTAGTCCAGAATTATTCAGAATCTCATTAGTCAAAATTAGAAATAAGACTGGAACAATCAAGCTATTCAATATGAAAAGTCCGAAACCATTAGCGGTCTGCCAGCAGCAAAAGTGTTTTTAAATCTCACTTGATATGAGTCTCCCAGATGCATCAGAATACAATATCAAGAGCAATCTTTACAAAATTTTCCTTTGATGGAAATATTCTACACACTCTAAACTAGGAAACTACTGTATAGAAATTGTAGCTTGACTTAAATATATTCTGTTGTTTAATCAGACTTCCAGAAAATGAAAATAACATATTGACAACTTCCTTAAAATGGAGGATTAATTATCTAAAACTCATTATAATATAATTAATCATTCAAATAACATGTAAAAAATAATTTCTTCACTATCATTACCTACAAAGTAAAACATAAAATTATCTAAAATGTACAAATACCACACCTGATGTCCGCTGTTAAACTACAAGATTTCCCTGAAGATTATAATTCCTTTTTGCTTTTTAAACATTAATCATATACAGTAGTTAAAAAAAAACATATTAGAACAGAACTAGGTCACTGTTTATGCCTGATACACTGTCCATCATTTGAATGTTTACCTGTGAAATTCCACAAATAATTGTTGTGGAGTCAATCCTACAAAATAATGATCTCTATCCAATCCACTCTGCTCCTAGGGCTCTCCCACTGATTTAAATCAACATCCGTTTAATAAAAAAATGAAACCTCCACTTGATAACAAGTTATTTTCAAAAACACAATCACAAGGTATTAAAGTAGATTCCTCAAGAAACATGTGTAATTATAAACAAGTAAAACAGCCTTCATCGGGGCCTAAATGTTGTGATCCCATCCCACAACTTGGAATGGCCATAATGCCTCTAGTCAATATTGACATTATTTGTACTTACAGGTAGGCCCTATTGACAGGCAGGTAAATTTATTACCAGCTACAATCTATGAAAGCTTCAGATAAATATTGTTCAAGTTTAAGTATCCTGTGTCAATAAAACAGGTAGAAATTATACCACGAGAAGCATATATACACTTCACTCCATGAACATACATGTATCTATGCCAGAAGCCAAGTAAACTAACATCTAGTATGCAATACTGCACAGTCTTTCTGTGTCAAGAATTTACATGCTTGTAGTAGCTGGCAAAGTTGATGTACTCTTGATCACAGGGATGTAGTTAATTAATGAATGTGCTGTTTAACTATCTGGAAACTTGTTTTTTACACAACAGAATGTGTAATAAAGTAAACAGAAGTTATGCCACCAATCCCTAATGTACACTATGAAACACTATCAAAACAAATATATGACAAACATCCAACAAATGTTATTTACAGATAAAAAAAAAAAAGAGAAAGAAATTGAAAACATACCTATCTCAGATATCCATTTTCTATATATATATGTGTCCATCAATTGCCCTGTGTACACAATATTCTTATTTCAACGAAATTAATTTTTTCCTCCAATAGACAGCAAAAAAGACTAGAAACCCTGCAGTTTTGTGTGGGTGCCCTCTTGGGCAATAAATAACACTACTGTAAGTATTTGTAAGGTAACTCCCATAAAATAGCCACGACCATCCTTCATAGCCCAGACATACAATGTGTGACAACACGACATAACCTTTATTATTTCCCTATGTAAACTTAGTTCAAGAACTAAAAAAGTTTTCAATTTAAAAAATGAACCTTTGCCTTGTGAGAGGTTACAGAATATATGGAGGAGTATTTAATGTACTTTTTCAGTATTTATTCATGTCAACTTTACAAATGATTCACAGAGAACTGTTAAGTGTTGCTCTCTATTAAACCAGGCAACACCAAGATAATTTTTTAACATATTGTCTCGGGGGAGTGTCCTGGGATATGGGAGTACCTTTACAGGTAAATTGGATGATTTTATGACGTTAAAATCCATTGGCAAATGAATTTTGGCAGAATAAAATTAAGAAACACTTATGAGCACTTTTATGACATGCAACCTTGGTAACAAAGAACATATTCATGCAGAATAAATAAGCTCTTGTTTTAAGGTTTCAGTAAAAACAGAATCCTAAAATATATGCCAAAAACTCCTACATTTTCCCCTAATAATTATAACAATTATGTCTCCTCCTCCTGCCCCCCCCCCCTCCCCTCCAAAAAAAATCCATTAGATACATAATATTAATTCTTTATCAAAAAGAACATCTTGGTTGAATGAATTCACTCATATATGAAGTATGAACAAAACACGACACAATATTTCTGCAGACATTTTATAGAATTTTCTGCAGACCTTTCGATTTACAGATTTGTATTTCTTTTTCTTAAAGATTCAAATCCCAAACACAATGAAGTCCAACTTTGACAATGTATTAAGATCAAAAGTTACCAGTATCAATAACTTAGAAAACCTACTATTGTTTTGTATTGTGTTAGAAGACAATGGCTTTTCTCTTCTTCAATCTGCTGCCTTCTTTTCCTAAAAGTCAGATAAGAGTTTTATCTACTCACCATCCAAAATTTCCAAGGCATTGAACCCAGTTCAACAGCTTACGAATATTTACTTCTGACATTAATTCCCCTGAAAGAAATTAAAAATCCATTTTTAACTCCTTGACATGACATTCTAGCATTCTCAAGAACTTTAATATCATACAAATATATCTTATGGCTCCTTTAAGAACAGATTAACATTTTTTGAAAAACCCCTCAACTGTGTTGAATGGGTAGAAAATAGGATTATTGCAGCTTTCTATAGCAGCGGTCAAGTAGCTTTGTTCCTGCTAACCCAAAGTGTAAAAAATGACTGTGAATTAGCAACTATGATGTAAAATGTACCAGTTGGAATGACCATAACTCAAAACATCAGTCAGACAACAGCTTAGGTAGGTTTCCCATGGCTTTAAGAGGATCGAGGTTGTTACAAATCCATTATAAATTACTCTATTTAATGGCCCATACTTTAGGAACAACAAACATACACAGAAACAGACCTTTTTGATCAAATACTTTGCAATCTTTTACAAATATCTTTGTATGTAATATTTTGGGGTTAATCTAAAGTTAATGAAATTGCAGTTTTGTGTCAATTTTGTTATAGTTTCATGATAAATATCTGCTCCACAGACTCATTTACCCCAGGTAACAGTTTTAACCTGCTACCATGAAAACAGCAAAAAATAGAACAATTAAGTGAAAATATCCCATTAGCTTTATATTTTGTGCAACAGCATGTCATACAAATGACAAACACCTTACTTTTTTGAATAATGGCATAATGACTTTAATTAATAATACTTTCACTATTTATTTTTTCTTTTAGTTTCATCTGACCATGCATTGGTATAAATGTTATGAATTATAATGAATATAAACAAGTATAGGGAAGGTAAATTGCCTTGACTACCTCTATACATGTAACAGAACTTGTATGATCTAGGCTCTAGCTATCATAAATATGACTCCATGTCTTAAGAGGCTATCAATATGAATGTTAAGAACAAACTTTCTAAAATATAAAGTATTAGCAGTGTACTTTGGTTTAAAATATATCTAGCCTTTAAAACAAGTTTTTGAAAAAAAAAATAATGTGAAATTTGGAAAATTAATTACACTAAATGACAGGCACCTTTAAAAAAAATCTCTTCAAAAGCTAGAACACAATTCAGACCACTGAAAGTCAAATTATCTTTGTGGGTTTAATTTATTTCACAAAAAGAGGAAATATCTTAGAATTAGTGTTTTCTATAAAATGATCGAAACATGAAAACCTATATAAATTTAACAAAAAATATAAGTACTATGGCTTAATACCTATAAAGATCAAGAATGATAAATTTCTTTTTTCCTTTACAATATTTTTTGTTAATGAACCTTTTTACCAGTCATAACTAATCATAACTAGAATTTTCAAATTCCAGGTTACTGACATTTACATAAAAATGTTAACCACACCATTTGAAACTTTTAAATCAACAATATTACTTGAAATATAGCTCAAATGTTGAGTAAAACAGGACTTAAAATTCATTGTTATAACTATATTAATTTAAATGTAAATTCACTTCTACTGGTACAAAATAATTAGCAGTGAATTTATTCTAAGACAACCTGAAATAGATTTGGATCTTACACAAAAATAGATACAAGAAATTTACATTGTTTTTTTTTTTTTTTTGTATAACTTTCTCACTCTGTATTTTTTAATAACTTTAACTTTCATAGTGTGAAACAGAAATGTAATAAATTTTAAAATATTCAATCCAGAATTTCAAAGCAACATTGAATAAACTCTAGCCCTCTACATATAATAGGTCAAGCCCACCTTTTTCTCCCATTTATTTCCCTAAAAAGATGTTTGTTTGACAGGGAGTATAGTGGTTCTTCTCTTAACAGTTCCACTTCATGGTCATGACTTTGATTGGTATCATCCTTTTCTTACTCTAGCTCTATCCATTAACATGTATAAATATAATAAGTACAAGCCAGCAAAAATTTCGTCAGCTATTTATAACTTATTGTTAACTGCATGTGTTGATAATGGAGTCCCATTAAAAAAAAAGCACCTTAAATTTATATGATTTGTAAAAACATGGAATAACAGTCATGAAATCTTAAAGGAACATTTCCAGGCTAAGCAGTATTTTTTTTTTTTTTTGGTTTATTTTTTTATTTTCTTAATCCATTGTGGGTCTCTATTTGACACATTGTTTTCATTTCCTTGGGGTAAAACAGATAATGCCTCCTGTGAGTGAAGATGGCACAATATGGTGTACATACCCTACAGTCAAAATCCTAAAATACTTTCTATTTTAAGATGTCTAACACTGAAACCATGCCTTGAAGTACTAAATGGAAAACAAACACATGAAAAGGGGACTGAAAAAAACCTATGGATTACATAAAAGTACACAAAATGAAAATTTGAACTTATTCATTAAATATTAAAGATGAAATTAAATATGGTTTGAGAATGAATCATAGTTGACATTTCTGCTAAAGTAACAAACAACAGCAGCATTAATTACAAGATAATCATGTAAGACCATCTCAGTTCATGAAAACTGACACTTCATTGAAAGAAACCCCCAGAGTATATTATTGAAACTTGGTACAAATCACGTTCTTCAGTTAAACAATGTTAATGTTCAACTATATACTTGGAAATTTCAAAACAACATACAGTCAAACCTTGTTATCTCAAACTCCAAGGGACCAAGAAAATACTTCGAGATATCCGAAGATTTGAGATATCCAGGGTAAAATACTTAAAGAATAAGCAGTTGGGACTTCAAAATGAGTTTGACATATCCATGGTATTCGAGATATCCGTGTTCGAAATACCATTAAAGTTCAACTGTACCTGAAAATATCAGGGAGTCTGTTTTGACATGTAGTGTATAACAAAAAACAAAGCATCAAACATGACATGGAAAAGACAAAACGTTTGCCAGAATACCTTCAATGCATTTGTTAGAGCATTAAAATACACCAAGTTACCCAGTATAAATGTGCTCCATTACATTCATCATCTATCCTACAGTAATGGCAATGTACCATTGTATGTCACTGGAATCTTCCTTTTTGTTGACAAATAATGAGATGTCGTAATTAAGCTTTAATATACATGTATTATCTCTTGATCCTGGAAAAATGCTGTATGCACCAATAACTCTGTGATATGGTCAAACCCCAAGTTATCTCAAACTCAAAAGTGCTGATAAAAAACTGCAAGATATCTGAGGATTCAAGATACTGAGGTTAATATAAAATACATAATTAAAAGCACCAACTCACTTTTTCAAGATATCCATGTTTGAAGTATAGAAATTTGACCGTATTTACCTCACTATGCTATCACTTGCTCTGTTGCGAAATACTGTGAAATCACTAATTTTCATGGGGTTTAATTTTCATTGTTTTCAAGGTTTAAAGAGACCCACAAATTCATGTTCATCACAAAATGTAAAATATGTCATATACATAACTACTCAACAATTCTTCATCCAAGAAATGAAATCTCCATGAACTAATAGTTTTTCCTCAAACCAAATTGACCCCAGGAAAATATGATTTTACAGTATAAAGTATGTCACACACTGTTTTACAGGCATTTATGACAAGAGGATAAGTATTTCACCACCTAAAGCAAGTCCAGACTATATCCATTAAAATTGCCTTGCCAAAAAAAAAAAAAAAAAAATCAGCCAAACCACAAGTTCATAAGATAGTGGTTATACTTGTGCAAGAAAAACAGAACCTTACACAGTATAATTCAATGTAAAACAGCCATGTGTAAATGAATCTTAGAATCATAATTGCAAACTTGACCCCTGGGAAAGTTAAATACCCATTTAGTCAATACATGTAAATGTAAAAGTGACAATATTTGGAATTCGCTCATCAGCTAGATGAGCAAATTCCAACATTGAACTAAACAATAAATAATAAAAAGGCAAAACATCTAAGATAAACACCATAAGCGGCATTAAAAAAAAATAGTCCAAAATATTACAATCTGGAGGAATCGTCCAAGAGTGACACATCCTAGAAATTATCTGAAATTCACAGCCTTATATACATGTACATATACCAGGTCTATCTCCAAATGGTCAATGCTGGTCAAGACCATAGGAAAGCAACATTACACATGTAGAGTATCTCAATTAGTTGTTCAGAGGGAAACATTTCAAATAGGAAATTCCAGCTGGGATCCAAGAAAGTCCTTATTATACTATATTATATTCATAAAAATAATTTCTGGTCATATTTGAAACCATCTCACTGCATTAGTTTTCCCAGTTAAGATGAGAAGTACATGAAAACTTTAAATTGTGATTCATGTTACATGCGCACCATTTTCTTTTTTCAAGTCCTTTAACATACACATACTCCAAAAGTTCACTAACTGAGTTAATACTTAAATTTAAATTAAATTTTATTACAAATTTCGGTTAGTTATACATGTAGTTACTTTCCTATTTTTTTTACTTACTTATCACACAGTCCAGAATGCAGTATAAAAACATACAGTATTGTGTTTTTCCTTAATTTCTCAACTAAAATTGCAGCTCTTTTCAACATGTGAAATAATCTGATCAAACATCTATTTTGAAACTTATTCATACAAGTTAACATTTTTTTTCGAGGCCTAGCCGGGTGCCACATAAAATGTACATGCATTACCCGCAATTTACTGATTTCTCCATTTGTGTCATCCTACTGAATGGAACTGACTTTCTGTGGAAAAAGTTTTCATTAACAATGAAAATGATACTTCAGATTAAGAATATTAAACAGTTAATTCACAAAGGCTTGCAAGATTGATTTTTAAAGCTTTCAAAATATTGAAACTCACCATTCATCAATCAATGCCTATGAATTCCTTCAATCTATTTATTCTTGAAAATACTAGATGGAAATGACCACAACACTGCATAATTTTTTGTCCTATGTTCACCCAACATCTATAACAGTCAGTTAGAAGATTAACAATTCTTGGTCCCTTGCTGTGCTCTTTGAAAGAAAAACGTTCAGGGGCATTTAAAGATTTTCTTTAGACTTAATTTAGATGCTTTTGTC